AGAAAAGTGAGAGGTAGCAGCCCCATAAACAAACCCAAACCAAGGAAAAATTTTAAACAACCCCACAGGGAGCAAAGCTATTGACAGGCTGAGAGAGCTGGGCTGGTTCAGCCTGGACAAGAGAAGGCTCCAGGGAGACCTTAGAGCAGCTTCCAGTGCCTAAAGAGGGCTTATAAGAAAGCTGGGGACAGACCTTTTAGAAGGGCCTGTTGTGACAAAACAACGGGTAACAGTTTTAAACTGACAAAAGGGAGATTCAGACTAGATATAAGGAAGGAATCTTTCATGACAAGGGTGCTGAGGCGCTGGCACAGGGTGCCCAGAGAAGCTGTGGCTGCCCCCTCCCCGGCAGTGTTCGTTGGACACAGGGGCTTGGAGCAACCTGGTCTACTGGAAAGTGTCCCTGCCCATGGTAGGGGGTTGGAACTGGATGAGCTTTAAGGTCCCTTCCCACCCGAACCAGTCTGTGATTCTATGAAAACCCATATGAGCCATCAGAACCCTGCCGGCACTGCTGGCTCTGGGAACACTTATCTCCCGCATCCCTGAAGCCATTATCTCCCCCAGCCCCAGGGACAGGCAGTACCAGGCTGTGCCCACCTTACCTGCACACGGGGCTGTGGTGGGGGTGAAGGAGGAGCTGCTGTCCGGTTTCGCCAGGGCAGGGGAGGGCAGAACCACTCAACTTCGCTGAGGTAGATGAGGAACGAGCACTCGGTGCCATCCACGCCAAAAAACGCATAGCAGGGGTCAGAGGTCCACCTGGCCCTCATCCACTGCGGGGGGCAAAGAAACATGTGGGGCTCATCCTCTGACAGCCCTGCGAGCTGCTCTTGCTATGGGCAAACCCTATTCTCTATCACCTTTCCCTAGCTGGGGGCTAGAAATGAAGGGCAAAGGGTAGGAAAGGGCTGCAAACTAGTGCACACCCAGCACCAGTGGTGCTGATGTCTGCCCATCCAATGCCTTCAGGGTACATGGGGCAGAGGAAGAGCCAGGAGGGTTTGCTGAGGTTTCTAGCACTGGTTCCAGCACCAGCACGAGCCTTCCCCTGGGACACAGCCATTAATCCCCTGGAAATGATACACCACAGGGTTTTCTCCTCCATAGGTTTGCTGGGGAGTGAGCTGAGCTGCTGATCTCATCACTCTGGGCACAGCGGGGCAAAAGACAGATCCGCCCCTGGTCCCCAAGGATGATTTCACATGAAGAAGAATAACCAGTAACTGGAAGAGTGATTTATCATCCCCCACAACAGCTCTTGCCAGCTGCTTCCTAATTCAACTACCAAAACAAATCTACTCAGGAGACAGGTTGCTGTGCCCAATATGTAAAATGCAGCAATCACCTGGACAGGAGATTGAATTCCAGCCTTCCAGAATCAAATTATCTTTGGAATTTACTCAAATTGGGGAAGGGAAGGCTGCCTAGCACCAGGGGAAGAGGAAAATACAACCCCCCAGTATCATTTTAATACACATCTTTTCAGGGACACTCAGCCCTGCAGAAGCCTGAGCTTGAAGCAGGAGGCTGGGAAGGGAAGAGGAGAGGGAGGTGCTTTTAATTAGTTCATATAAATATGCTCTCTGACAAGGCAGTCATGCTCCAGGACAAATGCCAGGCTGCATTCAGGTGTAAAGAGCAGGCTGGGTCAGGCAGGACATCCTGTTTGAGATGGAGGTCCTGGCCACCTTAACAAGATGCTCTTCTGTTTGATGCTCAGATTATTCCCCAGACACTAGCTAAGGTTCCAGATATTTAACAATGATGTGACAGTGCTTTCTCCTCACTGTGCTTCTGTCATTAAACACAGAAACTACAGACAAGGAGAGCTGCAGGCAGAGGTGGTGTCACAGGGCTGATTCTGCTGCTGCCTGCACACTTCTGGGTACTGTGATTTCAGTGCTTCGTGCACTAGAACTAAAGGTAGATGCCTTATGATTGATGGAAAACAGTCACACTCATGTAGCTACGGCTCCTAGAGGAGGTTGGACGTCTCCCTTGTGTTTTCTCCTTGCAGCACAGCCACACTTTGCTTTCCACACTTTTGGCTCTGCTCCTGCAATAGGCTGCACCTTTCCTGTTTTAAGCCAGTTTTCTTCCTGACAGCATCCCCATCCCCACTGCCCTTCCCAGTTTAACCCCTGGGATTTTTGCTTTCTGCCCTTCCCAGCAGCAACCACCCCAGGCCAAGACCCTCTCCAGACAGGTGATCCCGACTCACCTCCACCTTCCCAGCACAGTCAGGGTACTTGGGGTCCCTGGGCACTTCGCACTGGTCCCTCCTGCCTTCTGCCACTGCAGAAAGAGAATTTGGGTGTGGGGAGAGCCGGGATGTGCCAGCAGAACAGCTAGAAATGCTGGGATGGGAGGGGATGGGATGGAGCTGCCAGCCCCAGAATACATTCACAGCCATCACAGCTGGGCAGGCAAACAGCCCCATCCCACTTGATGGGGCAGGACACCAAGACATGAAGCATCTTCCCCATGGTCAGGGAGGAAACAGAGGAACCCCCCAGCCCTACTTCAATGCCAACAGCACATTCTCTTTTCCTAAATCTCAGCAGGTCTCTCTGTAACATCTCTGCTGCTCTCAGCCAGGTCTAGACCCCAGGTCCCACCTTTCCATGCTCCTGTTAATCATCCTTAAACAGGCTGCAGTATCTAAGGAAGCACTTGGCAGCCTTCACACTGTAAACTTGCAATAAAAATTGTCCTGCTGAGCTGTTGAGAGAACATTCAGCCCTAGGGTCAGCCCTGGAATAAGGCACAGAAGAGGCTAAAAAGGCAATAGGATTTTATCTTCTTCTGATTGGACTAACAAAAGACACCACCCTTCCTATAAGCCTTTGCCAATAACTGAAAAAACATGAGGTAGAAGAGGCAAAGGAATTATCTTCTACTTGAGATGCCAGCCCAAACCCTGGGAACCATGCAGCCATGTGGAGAAACATCTGGAGACCCCAGGTACTCTGCCAGCACTGCCAGAGTGGGCTGGGAACATCTCTCCTGGTGCTGGATCCCAGCCCCTGGGCTTTGGATCCAAACCACCACATTTTTCTACCCAGGTGTTTGTGCTGGCATTGCTCCTCCTCTTTAACTCTGCATTTAATCCTGTGGCATTTACTTCTGACACCAGTTCAGCTTTGTCACCATTCCTGCCCCTTGAAGGCAGGAGTGTCCCAGGTCTTTTCCTTCTGCAGGTTGATCTTCCCTGCTCTCAAGTCCTCCTGACCAATTGAGGCACCACCCTTAGGAGAAGACTACTGCTGTCAGAGACCACGGAGAGTGGTTCCCTGTGCAGCCTCCAGCTTTTCCAGCCTTTCTGGCTCTAACAGAAAGGTAAGAGTCCTGGAAAACTCTGAGGAAGCTCAGACCACACTCTGGACCGCCTCTCCCTCAAGAAGATGGTGTGACCACATGCTGCATCACACAGAGCAGGACACAAAACAGCCCTAGGAGGTCTGCAAAAGAGCTTCAGGTGCTCTCCTTAGTCCTGCAGACTGGGATGAGTTGGGTAACCTCAGATCAGCATCCACCCCTCTGTATTTCTGCCAAATTTTTTATGGTAGGCTTGGCTGGATCTCCCTATTGCAACTGCATATAGGAGGGTTGTAGCGTGGGGACCCCGAGGGACACTCACCTTTCCCATTCAGGAGGCTGTTCCGGAGAATCTGATCTACTTTTATAGCGATGTCTGAGACGTTTTGAGCTATAGCTTGGATCCTCTCCATCAGGCCAGCTGCTGGCTGGAACCTGGGAAAACAAAACGAAATTAACTCTGAAAACTTGATGTCTCCCACTGGTGACACCCCCGGTGCTTATAGCAAACTTGCCACCCTTGGGAGCTGCCAACAGGTTGAACTTGGCTCCAACTTGGATGCAACATGGGAATGCCTGGTCCAGTGCGTACCGGCCAAAGAACTCACAGCCTTCCAAAAGGCAGTGCAAGTCACTGTGCAAGTCAGTGTTCTGGCGTTTTTTCACAGTGTACTGATAAACATGGGTACATCTGTGCATTTGACATGGGGAAATGTTAAATAGGCTGGAAAAAATTGTTCTTCTTATTTCAGATGTGCTGTGTTTGAAAATCCTCTGCCGTGGAAGCCGTGCTGGGAAAAACAGGGGAGGGAAAAAATAACACAGAAGGCATACCTGGAGGAGGGCTGAGGAAGCTTGTGTGCTTGGAGCAGACTGCAGAGAGATGCAAAACACACAGGACACATGGATGGCATCAGCCCATCCACCAAAGGTTTACGCAAGAGCATTTCCAGGTCTCCTAGCAAGGGCCAGGGTGCCAGGATAAGCATCACCAGCACTGCATAAGCCAGGTGTCACAGCCCCAGCAAAGTGCACAGGCACCTTCCACTAAGGCTTGAGATCAGATTCCCCCAGCCTGAATAACTGCATATGCCATCTATTGAATTCAACATCGCAATCAATACCGGCCTGGGTAAACAGCACCATTAAACTCATCTGCATAACACACTGAGCACTGTAAAGAAGCTGGGTGTCAATTAAAACCTGCTGTAATATACAAAAGGGCAAGAGAACTCAATCCATCAGCAGCAGTGCCCTGATAAGGAGCAAGCTCTCCACCTCCAGCATCTTGCCTGCCATTTCCACCACAACCAACCATCATGTCTCGACGAGTGCTGTTATAGCAGTAAATAATTTCCCTTCTGCAGCGTCTGGGTCATAAGTTTTTTCCTCCTGCTACTGCTGCTGCTTATTATTATAATACAAGGAAATGTCATACGCAGCAAGCAAATCCAAAAGGGCTACCTGGAGTACTCCTGGCACAAAATATATGTGCTGATGTCAGGTCCATCCCGGTGAAGTTTTACATTTGTTCTCCAGCAGATCAGTGAACCTGAAGGCTGGGATTTAAAGCCCCTCTGTCCCCAAGGCTAAACCCCCCTCGGCCCCAAAGGCAAACCCCCCCCCCCGAGTTTATGAACCAATACTGCTTCGGTTGTTGATTTAAAGTCCATTCGCTAGCAGCAAGCAGCTCACATTTCTTCTCCTGGCATGATTTATGACCATCAATATTCAGCCTGCATACCTCCACAGAGAGCCACAGATCTGCAGCTTTTAAGAAAAAACAACTAAATGCAGAGGACACCATTGCCCCCAAGTAACTTTCAACCTTTGCAGAGAATAAACCCCAGGTATCCTGCCAGCTACTGCAACCGCTGCAGCGGGGAGGTTGCTCATGAGGCCATGGAAAAATACAGGCACAAAAATGACCTGTGACAAGCTCTGCTTGACAATACGGCTCCAAGAAGATAGAATGCTCCTGGTCTGAGGGCTGCACAGCTCAGCCAGCCCTGAAAGCTCACAACTCCCATTCCTGGAAGCCTTTTGCACCAGCAAGAGCCATCAGACCAAGCAGATTGTGGACAGGCACTCAATAAAGAGGGTATGGCTGGGATGGGCAGCTCAGGAGCAAATGTCACGAGGATGCAGTGAATTTGGAGCCAGTGGGCCCAGCTTCCTGCTCGAACAACAGGAGAGATGTTGGCTTGGTGGAGATGATCTTCAGGTTTCTGCATCATTCATGGCAAGGAGAGAGGACAACCACATCAACCCTGCTCCCGCATTTCAGAGCGCCTTTATTAGCCCACAGTCCAATTCTCCTTCCAGAAGCTATCCTAATTCTCACTTGGGTCCAAACATGCTCCCAGACACACAAGTAATCAGGTGACTCTCGAAAGTCAACAGCAGCCTGGGTCCCCATCTCCTCTCTGATGATCTCCAGACCTCAGCTCAGCCAGGGCAGAGCACTGGACACCCATGAACACACTCAAATCAGGATCATTACCCTAAATATGCAGTTTTCTTCCAGGCTCAGCCTCACAGCCAGCCTAAGTCCTGTCAAAACTCCATCCACAGCCAGGTTTCCACCAGGTGATGGATCTAGCCCAGCATCTAGTCCAGCTTGCCCAGCTCCTGTAAGCCACAGCTGCCCCCCAGACACAAAGATTTCCCCTCAGAGCCCTTTGATGATCACACTCAGACAGCACTTCCAGTTCTCCCAAACGAGGCAGCCATGTCACATGGGCTTTGCAAGGCTCTGCTTGAAAATAAGGAGCCAGGCTCAAATCTCCCACCACCTGCTTGCTCATCACCCTTACTCGTCACACCAGTTTTCTAACCCAGGTCCCATCCCTGGCAGTGTTCAAGGCCAGGTTGGACACAGGGGCTTGGAGCAACCTGCTCTAGTGGAAGGTGTCCCTGCCCGTGGCAGGGGTTGGAGCTGGATGAGTTTTAAGGTCCCTTCCAACACAAACCAGTGGGGGATTCTATTATTCTTCAGATCCCCATGACTTCAAGGGAGGATTTCATGCTCAGGGTGAAGAGCCCTGCTCCCACCCTGGGAGCACTGACAGGCCTCAGTGTTAGCACTAACACGGGCAACACCAAGTCAGCCACTTGAGTGTTTTTATCTGCTGGTCAACAAGGCTATCATTTGAGCACAGATTTCATTTAACATATTAAATGGATGACAAGAAGGTTAAGCATAAGTTACATCACCTATCATTACACTCATCTGTTACCTGGGCAGAGGACAAGAAAATAAGACACTTAAAGCAAAATCTCAAATGCAAAAAGGTTTTCTGTAGATCAGAATTTGATGCCTTATTCTTAGTAACTGGAGACACTGACAAGGACAAGGTAAGTGGCACGTTCTGCTCAGTGATACCTAACCAGGAGGGGACTATCCCACCATGTGTCTCCATCTCAGCTGGGATGTCAGCACAGCCTCCACCAACCCAGTGGAAAGAACTGGCTTCCAGCACTACCACTGCCCAGGGAGCAGCAATGGGCTTTATTTTGCCCTCTTTTTTCCTTGTTGCTTTTTATATTTTTCTATAGTGACAATATAAATGCCACCAAAATACACTGGGGCTGTGCCAGCTATTGAAACTATAGTAAATTACTATGGGTTTTCTAGAACAATTTTTCCCTGAGACCTTAAAACCATTTACTACAGCAAATACAGTACTTTTACTTCTAACCATCAATATTGATTTCTTCTTTATTATTTCAGATTTATATTTCCCCATGTTGATTAAAATTCAGATCATGCTGTGCCTTATAATGCACCATATACAGTATTCATCTCGTTTCAAAAACTGCTATTAAGATGTATCTTTCCCCACTGGCAGATCATTTGCCATATAATATAGCTGGAGGTTGAGTTTTCCTTTACTTTTTTATGCATTAATTTGGTTCCCTTCACTTTTTCGCTTGTCCCCAACCCCTCAGCAGCAGCTCAAATTCAGCCTGTTTATCCCTTTACAAGGCACTGTATTTTTATTGCCTTTTATAAAAGTGTCATTATGAAAAGATGAATCTTTTTCTATTTGTGCATTGTCTTCATAATATAAGCCCTAAACATATTTGCTTGCTCATCCGGTATTTCTTGCTATTAACTGGTGAAAGCAGTGACTTTGGGAAGACCAATACAGATGGAGAAAAGCAGATGTTTTGAAGATAATACATCAACAAATGCAACATTTGCACAGAGCAGTTTACCAAAGGATTTCAACTTGCTCATTACAACGTCTGTGCTGACATTTACCTCTTTAAAGATGGGGGTTTCCACCCAAAGTCCCAAGGCAGAGCAGAAAGCAGCAGGGAAAGATGCCTGAAGATGGTGCTGGGCTTTTGCTGCTCCAGCCACAGGTCTCTCCCAATGAGCCCAGAGCTCCTTGGGCAAGGCAGGAGCACATGGATAGAAGCTGTTTGCCTGGCCACCCTGCTCGTGGTACACAGCCACCTCTCTGCTCTGCCTTAGAGAGAAAAGGAGAAAAGCAACTTATCTTGACTGTCCAAGCATGATTTTCCCCATGCATGTCCTCCCCTGACCCTGGTGGGGATCCCAGGCTGAGGGATCCTCACCGAACCCCTGTTCTGTGCTCATCCTCTCCAACCTAATCCTGAAAGCATCCAGGACTGCGCTGGAGATGTCTACAGGAGCTGGCAAGAAACATCTCACCACGTCTGCTAGGATGGAATGGGTTGTGTTACCTCTGAGGAAGGATAGCACCAGGGAGGAAGGCTCTTACCTTTCCCACAGGCTCTGCCTGCTCCAGCTTTCACACCACAGACATCAGCCTCACCCTGCAGATGCGCTCACTGATACCTGCAGCATGCCAAGGAGACTATGTACAGAGGAGTCCAAGACTGCTTGGAGCTCACCTGGATCGCAGGGACTGCAGCATCTGGCAGTGATTTCACTAAAGCCAGCTCACCAACAGCAACGATGCAGGAATTAATAGAGCCAGGCTGGCAGGATGAAGGAACATCACCCATTTAGTGTCATATTGTGTGACTTTTAATTACTGGGAGAATATGGAGTCATGTAATGATTACAAGAACAAATACTTAAAGTGTGTGGAAATTAACTGAGCCTCGGCAGTAATTAAGCTTGAAGATTAATCAGTCGATAGCAAATAACACCCATTGCAGGCTAACCACTTTGTGGGGATGAGGGATGACCAGGGATGCCAGTGCTGCAGATCCCAGCCTTCCCCTCTGCCACATCCCCATGGGCATGGGGTGGGCAGGGACAGCCCAGCTCCTGGAAAAGGGCTTCTCTGAGCCCCAGCGCTGGCTGGGTCAGCCACTTTGTATACCCTCCCTCCATCCCAAATCCTTTCCAGCAGGAGAGCAACACTTCCACTGCAAACTAATATTTCCCTAGCCCAGTAAATAGCTCTCCAGAAGGCTTCCATAAGTACTTCTAATTTTCTTCCCCTCTGATGACTTACAAGGGTTGCATTCAATTAACAGTGGTATTGATTTTTCTGCAGCTGACTGGCAGGCTGCTGCCTGTCATTAGGGAACCCATCACTTACCTTCCCAGTGCAGGCAGGGTGCAGGCAGCAGGGAGCCCAGGGAGGGCTGGAGAAGGGATGCAGCAACACCCAGGGGCACAGCAAGTGGACTTACGGGTGCAGCCTGTGTCTCCCTACCCCAGCATCGCATCCCACAAACCCTCTGGGCAGCTCTTCTAAGGAGGATGTTGGACATTTGGGTTTTCCAAGAGTTTTATCCAAAGCATTGCAATGGGCTGGTAGGCTACATATAGAGGCACATGCACAGTATTCAATCATATAGCATCTATAGAGCAAGGAAGATCCTGGAGCAACTTTTGGTCACATAAAGCTGCTTGCCTGGGCAGCTGGGAGGCTTTCTAAGGCAGACCATTAATTACATCCCCTATATTCAAATTCCTCCTTGTGCTTCCAAGGGGAAAAGCCACCCCTGCCCGTCACCGAGCAGTGCTGGAGACAATAGCGCTAATGGGTTATTCCATAAAGCCCACAGAAGCCTTCACCTCCTTCCTCTTCATCTGGTCTCTGCAAAACCAAGCCCTCCTGATCGTGTCAGAGATCCAGTCTTAAGCAGGACAGTGCTTTGTGAAAACACAGATTAATCCACTTTTGTGGAAGTGGAATTGCAAAGCCCATGCTCGTGGCTCTGCTGAACAGCAAAGGAGATGAAGGCGGCCGCTGTGCTAACCAGAGCTGCTTTAAAGAATAAAATTCCTTTGAAATCAACACCCTTTAATTGTATTATCTCTTGCCGACAGCTTCAAGTCAGTCACTGGTGATCAAAGAGACACAGACAGGGAGGGAAGGCGGAAACAAGCCCTCGGTGGAGTCCCACGCTCCTAATATTGAACAGCACAAGAGTGTCTCTGCTGCAATGGGGCTGACCTGGGTTCAGGAGACATCATTCGGTCCTGGTGCAGTCAGTGGTGCCCAAACCCCCTCAGCACAGGGGTCCCTGGGGATTACCCCGAAAGGAACAGGGACCTCAGCACCCCACGTTGCAGGGTCTCAGCCCACGTTTTGCACCAGCTGCTGTTTGATTCCCTGGGATGCTGCATGCAGCTCTGGAGAGCATCATCCATCAGAGCAGCGGGTCAGCCCAGAGCCAGGCAGCAGACAGGGTGTATTGGCTCTGCACCCTTCCAGCTGTCTCGTGCACCCTACAAAGGAGGACAGGGACCAGGATGAGCCAAAAATGGGCACTACAGATGAGGGAGCATGAGTGACAGTAGACAGAGCCACTCAAACCCGCTGAGACACAGCACAGCTCTAACACTTCCAACATATCTCCTCCAACCACAGACCCCAGCCAAGCCTGGAGAAGGAGAGGAGCACTTAGGAAATGCTTCATGAGTACTTGCAAATGCTGTCAGTGCTTCATACAGACCATCACAGCAAAAATCCATCCACAAGAACCCACAATGCTTGCTTCATCTAGAGTTGTTCTGCTCCATGACCAAACATGATCTTCAGAGGCTCTAGATAAGGAGATGACGCAGGTCAGTTTTGATGCAGGATCAAGTGAAGGGACTTGAATGCACTTTAAGGGTAATTCATAAGGAGTAAAACGTGATAAACTAGTTGTCCCTGATTCTCTTTTCCTGAAAATTAAGACATTTGTAACTGCTACTGCTCAAGCCCATCTACGCACATACACAAACCCAAGGCTGTTTTGACGTACTGGGTCCATAAGCTCCCATCCTCTGCAGTCTCTCCGAGTGACAGCCCTGGAGTCACCAGCCAGACAGCAAATCTCAAACACAAGATCCCATCTGCAATGCCTGCTGCCAGCTCACACAAACGTGTTTAAGTTTTTCTCTTACCTGCTGCAGCACAGAATCACCATCACCTGAAATTACTGGTTCTTTCTATATGAGAATGGCCAAGAAAATCATCGAATGTGAGCAATCACCTTCCAGTCACTGGCTATAACAGTTCTGTCCATTCCTCTCCGGGTTACTGCTGTCCTCCTTGCACACTTGGGTACTAGCCAGCTTCAAAACAACAAAATCCGCAGTACCAAGGTAAATTATATTCTTTCAGTGGTTGAAATGCTGTTATTTAAAAGGCAAGACCATGAGCTCCATGCTGCCTGTGCAGCATTAGCTCACACGTGCACGCAGTATGGCACAGCACAGCCTTTAATTACAGGCTCACTTACACTATTTTCCATCATAGGCGCAGAACGAGCCTCATAAGGAATGCCAGAGAGAGAAATGGAAGTGATGATGGAAACAGGGAGGCACAGGACCCCCAGCAGCTGTCGAGAGCAGCCACGGCAGGAAGTAGAGGTGGGAATGAGAGGTGGGAGCCATCAGGATACACTGCGGCTCCTGCAACAGCTCCAGTGAGAGAGAACAGGGCAGTGTGACCACTGCGTGTCACATCCCTGCGACCCACTGCTCACATGTCACCTGTGACTTCACCTGAGCAAAACCTACACTGACTTCTACACTGCAAAGTTTGTCCCAACTGCTGCCCCTCAGTCTTTTCATCTCTGCCCCCTCCACATTCACAGGCAGACTGGTTTGTGAAGGGACCTTAAAGCTCATCCAGCTCCAAACCCTGCCACAGGCAGGGAGACCCTCCCCCACAGC